CCCCCAGTCGCGAACCATTTCAACTCCCCCTCCCATTCCTCAGACGACATGTCCATCCTGGGCCTCCTGCAGTGCCACAACGATGCCACCCGAAGGTTGCAGGAACAGCAACTCATATTCCGCTTGGGAACCCTGCAGCCCAATGGTATCAATGTGGATTTCACAAGTTTCAAAATCTCCCCTCCCCCCACCGCATCCCAAAACCAGTCCAGCTCGTCCCTGCCTCCCTAACCTGTTCTTCCTCCCACTTATCCCCTCCTCCCACCTCAAGCCGCACCTCCATCTCCTACCGACCAACCTCATCCTGCCCCCTTGACCTGTCCGTCCTCCCTGGACTGACTTAACCCCTTCCTAACTCCCTACCTACACTCACCTTTCCTGGCCCCATCCCCGCCTCTTCGACCTGATTGTTTCTTCTCCACCTATCCTCTCCTCTATCCCTCTTCTATCCGCCTCCCACTCTCTCCCTATTTATTTCAAAACCCCCTTCCCCTCCCCCTTTTCTGATGAAGGGTCTAGGCCCGAAACGTCAGCCTCTCTGCTCCTATGATGCTGCTTGGCCTGCTGTGTTCATCCAGCCCTGCACCTTGTTGTCTCGGATTCTCCAGCATCTGCAGTTCCTACTATCTTTGATGTGACACGCTGTCTGTAAACCTAAGTATATCCACAGGTTTCATCCGTGCTGCATGTTATTGCAGAAAGAAATTAGTGAAATTAGTAATTCATCTTCCACAAAACCATGTTGACTTTGCTTGATTGCACTAAGATTTTACAAGTGCCTTGCTATAACTTCCTTAACAGATACCGACATTTTCCCTGTGACAAACGTTAGGCTAACTGGCCTATTGATTTATGCTTTCTGTCTCCCTCCTTTCTTGAATACAGGAATTATAGTTGCTATTTTACAACTTGATGACACCTTTCCAGGTTTGGAGATTTCTTGGAAAATCAAAACCTTTTTTCTTTAAAGATTCTAGGGTGAAGTCCATGAGGATATGGCAATCACTAGCTGTTAGTTGTAATAATTTTTCAGGACCCTTTCACTGGTGAATGAAATTAAGTTCCTCTATTCCTTTCAGCTCTTGATACACAATTTATGTCTGGGATGGCATAGCCTGGTCCTGGATCTTGCATATGGGCTGCACGAAGTACGTCTTCCAATCCTGAATTAAGAAGAACTATTCGGACACAAGCCATTGTCCTGGTTGAAGGACTGTTAAAAAGGACATTATAGAGAGACTAAAAATACTAACAAGTTTGGAGGTATAATGAATGATAAAGTTATGACAGAATATAATCAGAGAGGTATCAGACCTAAAATCAATTTGAAGGAAATTGTTCTTCACATTCGAGATATTAAATTCTACTTCTATTCAGGAACATAGACCTATATAGTTTTGAGCTACTGGCAGACTGTTGAAAAATTACGCTATCAAGTTTAAATCCCTATTAAGCTAGTAGTAGAGAATAGATGTTTAAAATCAGTTTGAGATTCAAATTCAGATGGAGAGGAGAAGAGAAAGGAAAGTTCACAACTATACATGAAACATTAAAAGCAGTAAATTGTTAAAGGAAGAACAGAACAGCATAAATTGCTCAATTTCCACAGCTTCTCAAAAGGCAATGGAATTATTAAGTTAGGCATACGTAACGACAAGGAAAGCTTTTCTTGCTCTTTCAAATATAAATTCTGTGATCTTATGTTTATAGTGTGGAGATTGAGATGGAGCACACAGTAACCACTGGCTATATAACAAAGTACCAAATGGCTATTAGCATCACAGAATTCCACTACTTCATAGGTAAGCACCTGAAGATCAGGTGAAAGGAAAATTGAGAGAGCAAGGAAAGGAAATGTATGAAAGTGAACGCTGGGAAGGTGGAAGGAAATGATGTTTCTTGCTAATCAAACACTGCCTTCTCAATTGAAGTTGGTAATATGGAAACACGGTTAATCTAATACAACTGAAAGTAGTTGTGCACTATATACCTGAGATGATGTGTGGAGAGCTTTTCCACTAGAGCTGTTGCCATTCGCTCACCTACAACCAGAAGGAAGGTGACCACTATGTCATGGTAACCTTGGTAATAGTGAAGCTGGGGGTTTTTCTTCAGTACCTCCAGAATGCTATCGATCAACTCTTCTTGAAGTTCTTTTCGCTTTGCATCTGGCATCCCTGTAGACATCATCAATCCAGGACAAATAGATAAATTTGATGAACAGCATACAAATCTAACATGTGCCTCATAATTCAGCTTTTGCACATAGATGGAGATACGTAGATCAGCTTAACAAGAAACATTAGCTCCTAACATGAAAATCAGTTACATAACAGGACAAAATAACTTCAAAACTCATGAACATTCAAAAAGGTATTTTCGTTCCTGCTACCTTTTTATAAGCAGTCAACCCTATTCATGTAGTCCCTCCTCATCAATGGACTTACGAACTAATGGCTGTAGAACTGGACAAGCTCAAACTTACTTAAGTTATATTTTCCAACTGGCCTCCCCAGTAACTGAAAAAAGCAGAGAGGGATGGTCTCCTTATCCAAAGAAGGATATAATTTGCCTATGGGAGTAGTGGTGCATAATGAAGATTCACCAAATTGATTCCCGGGATGACAGGGTTTTCTTGGCAGGGGAGATCAGTAGAATAGGCCTATCCTCTCAAGTTCAGAGGAATGAGAGTTGACCTCTTTGAAGCATCATGGATTGGTGTCTGGTATCGGTTATTCACAAAGTCTGATTGACTATGTCGATGCTAAGAGGCTGTATTCCTCACTGGACAGTCCCAGAACTAAAGACTGTCTCAGCATAAAGGATTGGTCCTTTAGCATCGAAATGAGGATAATTTTGTTCATTTCACAGATTGTCAATCTTTGACAATCTTCAAAGGACTGTGCCTGTTAAATTGAGTATAGTCAAGGCTAAGCTCAAAAGATTTTTGGACTATAGGGAATCAAGGGAGATACTACTGTACTAACGGAAGCATTAAGCGTTAAATTGTTCCTAATGAGCAGCTTTCAATCAGCGAGGTTTTACACCCGGCTAACTTACCAGGTGGAAAGCGTCGCAACGATCGCTGGACATCCAGTAACACCTGCTGATAGTCTTTATTGTTCTGTCGGAGTTCTGGTCCTGCAGCAAAAAGTTAATTGTGCAAGGTATAAATTAAACATTTTTTAAAAAGCAGCCAGCTCGGAGCTCTGGGATACACAAAAGTAATTAAATCACATTGCAAGACACAATAGCTTTGCAACAACTCAAGTTAAAAATCACTAATACTGGTCAAGCTCACTACGATGGCATTGTATTCCTTAATTAAAAATCCAGCAATTATTAACTTAAAGACCTATAAGACAACACCCATTAAAATCAGATTATAAATAAAAATTCCCAATATAGATTTGTACAATGAAAACAGTTTTTATTCATCACTGTTTCAGGTAATTTGTTAAAATTAACCAGGGGCACTCTTATGGATCACTCTTCAATGCCATGTCAGGTTCAACGTTAGTATTCTCATTTCAAAAAAAAGTCATGGATTCAAGTGGACAGCATAGCATTGAGACTGGTTTATTGTTGAAACTATCACTTTGCGAATGAGATGTGGACTTCGAGTGCTATTGCAGGTGTACTGAAAAGATCCCATGAATTCAAACAGTTGGGAAGTCTTCCTGTGATCTATCCTTCAAATCACTATTATAAAAAAAATCAGATCAGTTATTAATTTGTCTCATTCTGGTTGGTGGAAAATTATTTTATGAAGAAACTATGACCACATTAAATTTACCACACAAAGCAAGTGCTGCACTTCGAAAGTAATTCACTGGATGGGTGCAAAGCATTTAGGAGAACCCCATCCAAAGATGTGAAAGGCACCGTATATCAAAACAAGTAAATTCTTCCTTAAGTCACACTAGAAAAAAAAAGAGAGAACGAGATACAGCTTTCTTAACTTTGCAAAAAACAAAAAGTTATGGTTCAACTGCACGTTGTGGCAAGCTGGTGTCATCAAATATATAGTAGGCTCTAGAAGGGTTAAAAAGGTAAATACTAGATAGTTTATCACAGTCACGTAGGACACAGTTTGTGCTTCTCTGCTGCAGCAAGGTTGGAGTTGTAGGAAATACAGGAATACAGTGGAAATTGAGGGTGGAGAGGGCATGCAGAGATTTGTAAAGTTAAACTGGCTCCATAAATGCTTCGTAAATGTGCGCATTTCATTTGAAGCCAATTCACAATAAAATTTCTACCCCAAGCCTGAGTCCATGGCATTTATTTGGCCTCCAGCCTTAATATCAAGTTCATGTCAGCTCTAGACTTTGGGAATCTTTACTACTGCAATAACAGCCCAAAGTAACAGTACTTATCAGATACACCGAATGCAAGTAGTACCTGGTTTGGATGGTAGTTCATGTGTGTTTATATTAAGTAGCTTTGGCCACACTTTGCAACGAATTTCATCTGTCAGAAGACCACCTTCACTGATTGCCATTCTCCTCAATGCAGCTACATCCACAGGAGAGCTGTTTAAGGCTTGGAAGATTTCTGCTACCTTTCGCTTTCTTTTTGATTCATTGTCTGATGAAAAATACAAATGACAAAATTACAGCATTAATTAATTTGAACATCTCTTCTCCATTCTGAGCTACTTTTCTGATTCTGAATTCCTCTAAATTCCTTGCAGAAAAATAAATGCACCAGCATTTTGAGAGATCATAATTTCACATTCTACAATGCAGAAATTTAGCAATGCATTCTGACTACCCACAGATTAATTGTTTCAAAATTTTATTCACACATACCTACACCACACAATCATAGTGGTTGATAGCTGCCCAAAAGTGCCAGCCCTAATGAAATAAAGAAGTCGACTCAAGGATGCAGAAGACCATTCCCCACCAGGCAATGGCCTAGTAGTATTATCGCTGGACTATTAATCTGCAGACCAAGATAACATTCTGAGTATGAATCCCGTCATGGTAGTTAGTGGAATTTGCATTCCATAAAAATTTTGTGGAATTAAGAATCTAGCGATAACCGTAAATCCATTGCCGATTGTCAGAAAAACCCGTCTGGTACACTAATGTGCTTTTGGAAAGGAAACTGCCACCCTTCCCTGGTCTGGCCTACATGTGACTCCAGACCCACAACAAGAACATAAGAACATAAGAACTAGGAGCAGGAGTAGGCCATCCGGCCCTTCGAGCCTGCTCCGCCATTCAATAAGATCATGGCTGATCTTTTCGTGGACTCGGATCCACTTACCCGCATTCTCACCGTATCCCTTAATTCCTTTATTGCTCAAAAAAAAAATCTACCTTATCTTTAAAAACGTTTACTGAAGTAGCGTCAACTACTTCACTGGGCAAGGAATTCCATAGATTAACAACCCTCTGGGTGAAGAAGTTCCTTCTCAATTCAGTCCTAAATCTGCGCCCTCTAATCTTAAGGCTATGCCCTCTTGTCCTAGCTTCACCTGCCAGTGGAAACATCCTCTCTACTTCTATCTTATCTATTCCCTTCATAATTTTATATGTTTCTATAAGATCCCCCCTCAATCTTCTGAATTCCAATGAATATAATCCTAATCTACTCAGTCTCTCCTCATAAGCCAACCCCCTCAACTCTGGAATCAACCTAGTGAACCTCCTTTGCATCCCCTCCAGTGCCAGTACATCCTTTCTCAAGTAAGGAGACCAAAACTGCCCACAGTACTCCGGGTGCGGCCTCACCAGCACTTTGTACAGCTGCAACATAACCTCTCTGCTTTTAATCTCAATCCCTTTAGCAATGAAGGGCAAAATTCCATTTGCCTTCCTAATTACTTGTTGTACCTGCAGACCTACCTTCTGTGATTCATGCACAAGGACACCCAGGTCCCTCTGCATAGTAGCATGCTGCAACTTTTTACCATTCAAGCAATAATCCTTTTTACTATTACTCCTACCAAAATGTATGACTTCACATTTATTTACATTGCATTCCATCTGCCAGACCTTTGCCCACTCACTCAATGTATCTATGTTCCTCTGCAAAGTTTCACAGTCCTCTGCACACTTTGCTCTGCCACTCATTTTAGTTTCATCTGCAAACTTTGACACGCGACACGTGGTCCCCAACTCCAAATCATCTATATAAATTGTAAATAATTGCGGTCCCAACACCGATCCCTGAGGCACACCACTAGTCACTGACTGCCAGCTACAATAGCACTCATTTATCCCCACTCTTTGCTTCCTGTTAGTCAACCAATCCTCTATCCATGCTAATACTTTACCCTTAATGCCATGCATCCTTATCTTATGCAGTAGCCTCTTGTGCGGCACCTTGTCAAAGGCCTTTTGGAAGTCTAGGTACACCACATCCACTGGGTCCCTATTGTCCACCTCGCTCGTAATGTCTTCATAGAATTCCAAAAGATTTGTCAAGCATGACCTGCCCTTCATGAACCCATGCTGCGTCTGCCCAACGGGACAATTTCTATCAAGATGCCTTGCTATTTCTTCCTTGATAATAGACTCAAGCATCTTCCCCACTAGAGGTTAAGCTAACCGGTCTATAATTCCCCATCTTTTGTCTACTTCCCTTTTTAAACAGTGGCGTCACATTTGCTGTTTTCCAATCTGCTGGGACTGCCCCAGAGTCCAGTGAATTTTGGAAAATCACCGCCAGTGCACCTGCTATTTCTCCTGCCATCTCTTTTAGTACCCTGGGATGCATTCCATCAGGGCCAGGAGACTTATCAATTCTTAGCTCCATTAGCTTGCCCAACACTACCTCTTCCGTAATTATGATTATTTCCAGGTCCTCACCTACCTTTGTCTCTTTGTCAATTACTGGCATGTTATTAGTGTCCTCCACTGTGAAGACCGATACAAAATACCTGTTCAATGCCTCAGTCATTTCATCATATCCCATAACTAAGTTCCCTTTCTCATCCTCTAAAGGGCCAATGTTTACTTTAGCCACTCTTTTTCGTTTTATATATTTATAGAAACTTTTGCTATCTGTCTTTATATTCTGTGCCAGTTTTTTCTCATGTTCTATCTTACTTTTCTTTATAGCTCTTTTTGTGGTTTTCTGTTGACCTTTAAAGTTTTCCCAATCTTCTAGTTTCATGCTGTTTTTGGCCACTTTGTATGCCTTCTCTTTCAATTTGATCGCCTCCCTTATTTCTTTAGACACCCATGGCAGATTACCCCTTTTCTTACAGTCCTTCCTTTTCACTGGAATATACTTTTGCTGAGCACTTTGAAAGATTGCTTTGAAAGTCCTCCACTGCTCCTCAACTGCCCCACCATAAAATCTTTATTTCCAGGCTACTTTAGCCAAGTCGTCCCTCATTCTATTGTAGTTCCCCTTGTTCAAGCACAGGACCCTGGTATTGGATTTTATCTTCACACTCTCCATCTGTATGCTAAATTCAACCAGACTGTGATCACTCCTTCCAAGAGGATCCCTAACTATGAGGTCATTAATTATTCCTGTCTCATTACACAGGACCAGATCTAGGATAGTTTTCTCCCTCGTCGGTTCCATTACATACTGTTCAAGAAAACTATCACGGATACACTCAACGAACTCCTCCTCAAGGCTACCCTGACCGAGCTGGTTCGACCAATCTACACGTAGCTTAAAATCCCCCATGATAATTGCCGTACCATTTTTACAGGCATTAGTTATTTCTTTGTTTATTGCCCGCCCCAATGTGATGTTATTATTTGGTGGCCTATAGACAACGCCTATCAATGACTTTTTCCTCTTAGAATTTCTAATTTCCACCCAAATGGATTCAACCTCATTCTCCATAGAACCTGTATCATCTCTCAGCACCGCCCTGATGTCGTCCTTGAATATCAGAGCTACACCACCTCCCTTACCTTCCTATCTGTCCTTCCGAATAGTCTGGTACCCTTGGATATTTAACTCCCAGTCGTGACCATCCTGTAACCATGTCTCCGTAATGTTTGACTGTCAACTGCCCTCTGGGCAATAAATGCTGCCTAAAAGCGACGCCCTCATCCCATAAATGAATAAAGGAACTAACATTTCTGAAGTAATACAAAAAGTACCAAAAACGTATTTCCATTGAGGTCACAAAATTAGTGTTGCATATCTGTAAACATAATTCACATTTCATTTTTGAATAAAAAGTAGCACTCAAAAATTTCCTTACTCCCGAGGGTTGAAAAGAAACCTATTCAATCGATTAGAACATCTTCTGCCAGCTATTTCAGGATCAGAAAACATAATCAGCAGAGCACCAGCTAGAAAAAATTGCCATGAAACAAAATTGGTGTCAGGTTACTGATAGGTAAACTAGAACCATACAAAATTTAGGACAAAACTACTTGCTTAATGTGCCCTAATTCCCAAATTAAGAACAACCTATTTTGACATTCCCATTTTCACAAACTAAAAGATTTACTGCATTGTACCCAAAGATCTTTGGCCCAGTAAAATTTCCATGTGACCTTCTCAGCACAACTGACGTTATTTAATGTCATTAAATCAGTTCTCAGAAACTGACTGTAGATTTGGACATGTTACAAACTGAGTTTAGTTTTACTTAAGTTTTGGCAAAAATGCTAATTTTCATTGGATTTCATTAACTACTCCTGTCATATTAACCTGGGTTTAAAATCAAATTTTCTTCCTTGGTCCTCCAAGTGCAACATGATGTCCCAACTCGTCTATTCAATGGTCTGAGCAATGAAGGGAGGCATGCCAAATGCCTTCTTTACTACTCTGACTACCTGTGCTGCAACTTTCAATGAACCATGTACTTGAATCCCAAGGTCTCACTGTTCTACAACACACCCCAGGGCCCTACCATTAACTGTGTAGTCCTGCACTTTGTTTGTCTTACCAGAATACAACACCTCACATTTATCCAAATTAAACTCCATCTGCCACTCTTTGGCCCATTGGCCTAATTGATCAAGAGCTCTTTGCAATCTAAGATACCCTCCCTCACTGTTTACTATACCACCAATTTTGGTATCATCCGCAAACTTACTAACAATGTTTCCTAAATTTTCATCCAAATCATCGATATAAATGATAAATAACAGTGGACCCAGCACCGATCCCTGCAGAACACTGCTGGTCACAGGCCTCCAGTCCGAAAAAAAACCCTTCATCACCACCCTTTGTCTCCTACCATCAAGCCAATTTTATATCCAATTGGTAAATTCTCCCCAAATCCCATGTAATCTAACTTTACTAACCTGACTTACTAAAGTCCACGTAGACAAAGTCAACTGTTCTGCCCTCATCTAACTTCTTTGTCACATCCTCAAAAAACTCAAGTTTGTAATATGTGATTTCCCACGCACAAAGCCATGCTGACTATCCCTAATCAGTCCTTGCCTAAGTGAAATGCATTCTTGCAATAGCTGTGGTGTTCACTACTCAAAATGACTTAACTATTTAATAAAATTCACCTTCACATAACTAAATTTATTCTTCCTTCATTTCTAATTTTAAGTTCCCAAATAAAAACAATATACACCTACAACTGTAAGAAAAATCAAAACAATACACGCAAAAGATTCTAAATTTACTATCATGGCCTACTAGGCACTGCTCTGCACAATGTCTGACAAATTCAAACAGGACTCGCCAAAGAAATTTAGAAGTAATTTGCAGTCTAGAATGGAATTCTTTGAGAAGCATTATGTTCCAGAACAGCATAAATTTGAACAATGATCATGTTACTGTTTAGTGAGTGGCTTTGAACATCCAAGCTCTCAGTTACTAATGTGCTGACACAACTTGCAACAGTGGATCACCATTTACCCTCCACATTTGTCTTCTACTGACCTATCCCTCCAATGGAGATTGAACCAAAACATACTGGAACTTTATATGAAATCAAAATCCTGTGGATGTTAGAACTCTGAAGAGGAGAAACAGTTGCTGGAAATACTAAGCAGATTAGGCAGCATCCATACAGAGAAGCAGTTAACAGTGTAGGCTGATAACCTTCTTTACAACAGGTTAGAACACAAAAGTAATTGATCGCGACTATTTCTCCATAGATGAGGCACAGTCAAACCTCCTGAGTATTTGCAATGACTGATTTTTTTTTTCAATGCACCACTCGTGATTCCTCAGTGACTGAAGCAGTCCATATCAAGATGAAGTAAGACCTGGCCAACATTCAGGTTTGGGATGATAAGTGGCAAGTAACATTCAGTCACACAAGTGCCAGGCAACAATCATTTCTATCAAGAGGGAATACAACCTTTTGACATTCAATGACATTACCATTGCTGAATTATCCCACAACCAACATTGGGGGAGTAACCAGCCATATAAATATGGTATCTACAAGGGAAGGTCAGAGGCTCCCAAATGCCTGTCCACCATCTTCAAGGCACAAGTCAAAACTGTGATGGAATGTTTTCCATTTGCTTAGATTGCGCAGCTCCAGTAATAATCAAGAAGCTCAACACCATCCACCAACTTCAACGTTCACTCCATCCACCATCAAATCATGGAGACAGCAGTGTCTCTCATTTACAAATGACACTGCAGCAACTCACCAACGTTCTTTTGCAGCACCCCAACCTGCAACCTCTACTACCTGAAAGGGCAAGAGATATATGGGGGTACATCACCCGCAAATTCCAAACCACAAACATCACTCTGAAGTGGAACTATACTGCTATTCCTTCACCGCTGTAGCATCAAAACCCTAAAAATCCCCTCCTAGTAGCACTGTGGGTGTACATACAGTACAAGGATTGCAGCAGTTCAAGCAGCAGTAGGTAGCAAAAACATGAAGGCAAACAATCTGATTAGCCATAATATTGGGACAGGGGATTGATTGTACAGTGAGACCTGGATGTCCTCATATATCAATTGCTGAGGGTAAGCATAGGAGTGCAGCAGGTAGTAAAGAAGGCAAGTGGTATGTTGGCCTCCATCGCAATAGGATTCAAGTACAGGGGCAGGCATATTGTGCTGCAATTATACAATGCCTTGGTAAAACCACACCAGAAATATTGTCTGCAGTTTTGGTCTTCTTATCTGAAGAAGGACGTACTTGGTATGGTGACAGTGCAGCAAAGATTTACTAGACTGATTCCTGGAATGGCAAGACTGATGTATGAGGAGAGTCAGAGGTCATAGACTAGATCACAGAATCGCTACAGTGTGGAAGCAGGCCATTTGACCCATCAAGTCCACACTGACCCTCGACTGAGCAATCCACCCCCTACCCCAATCCCTGCATTTCCCACCCTATACACTATGGGCAAATTAGCATAGCCAATCCACCTAACCTACACATCTTTGGACCGTGGGAGGAAACCGGAGCACCTGGAGGAAACGGATGCAGACACGGGGAGAGCGTGCAAACTCCACACAGACAGTCGCCCGAGGCTGGCATCGAACCTGGGTCCCTGGTGCTGTAAGGCAATAGTGCTAACCATTGAACCACCATGCCGCCCCAAGTCATACAGATGTACAGCATGGAAACAGACTCTCAGACCAACTTGTCCATGCTGACCAGATATCCTAAATTAATCTAGTCCCATTTGCCAGCATTTGGTCCATATCCCTCTAAACCCTTCCCATCCATATCCCATTTAAATGGGATTAAATGCTGCAACTGTACCAGTGTCCACCACTTCTTCCAGCAATTTATTACATAAACACATCACCCTCAGCATGAAAAAGTTGCCCCTTAGGTCACTTTTGATCTTTACCCTCTCACTTTATGCCCTCTAGTTTTGGACTCCCCTACCCCAGGGAAAAGACCTTGATTACTCACCCTATCCATGACCCTCAATTTCATGAACCTCTGTAAGGTCCCTCCTCAGCCTTACGACCCTCCAGGGAAAACAACCCCAGCCTATTCAGCCTCTCTCTATTTCTCAAACCCTCCTACCTTGGCAACATCCTTGTAAATCTTTTCTGAACACCTTTCAAGTTTAACAACATCCTTCCTATAGCAGGCAGACCAGAATAGAATGCAGTATTCCAAAAGCCTAACCAATGTCCTGTACAGCCACAACATGACGTCTCAAAGCCAATACTCAATGCACTGACTAATAAAGGCAAGCATACCAAACGTCTTCTTCACTATCTGTCTGTGAATCTACTTTCAAGGAACCATGAACCTGGACTCCAAGGTCTTTTTGTTTGGCAACACTCCCCAGGACTTTACCATTAAGTGTACAAGTCCTGCTCTGATTTGCTCTACCAAAATGTAGAACCTCACATTTATCTAGATTAAACTTCATCTGCCATTCCTAGGCTCACCTGATCAAGGTCCTGTTGTATTTTGAGGTAACTTTCTTGGCTGTCCATTATACTGCCAATTTTGTAGTCATCTGCAAATTTACTAACTATTGCTCCTATCGTCACATCCAAATCATTTATATAAATGACACAAAGCAGCAGACTTCGCACTGGTCACTGCAACACACTGCTGGTCACTGGCCTGCTGTCTGAAAAGCAACCAAATTGGATAGAAACCTATAAAAATCTGAGAGAATTAGACAGGCTAGATGCAGAAAGGATGTTCCTGATGCGAGGGGAGTCCAGAACAAGGGGCCACAGTCTAAGGACATGGAGTAAACCATTTAGGACCGAAATGACGATGATCCAACATTCCTCACATTTTCCTGTCTTTTCCCCATAACCCTCGATTCTCCTACTGATCGAGAATCCACCTCCACTTTAAATATACATATGAACTCTGTCCCCACAGCTTTGGGGTAAGGAATTTCAAAGACACTTAACCCACAGAAGAAATTCCTCATCTCAATCTTAAATAGGCACCCCTTTATTCTGATTTCTGCACTGGAAACATACATTCCATTCAGGAATTAGGTACCTAGAATCTAATGTTCACTGGACCCTCGCATAAATTAATCACATCTTAGAAAGTACATGTTTGGCACCACAAATTTCATTTAATTCTGGTCTCCCTGCTATAGGAAGGATGTTGCCAGGGTTGGAGAGTGTGAGCCATAGGGAGAGGCTGAATAGGCCCAGGCTATTTTCCCTGGAGCATCAGACGCTGAGGGATGACCTTATAGAAGTTTATAAAATCATGAGGTGTGTGGATAGGGTGAATAGCCAAGGTCTTTTCCCTGGGGTGGGGGCTGTCCGAAACTAGAGGGCATAAGTTTAAGGTTAAAGGGGGGAGGTTTAAAAGGGACTTAAGGAGCAACTTTTTCACACAGAAGGTGGTGCATAAACGGAATGATCTGCCAGAGGAATAGGTGGAGGCTGGTTCAAATACAACATTTAAAAGGCATCTGGATGGGTATATGAATGGATTTGAGATTTGATTTATTGTAGTCACACATACCTAAGTACAGTGAAAAGCTGTGTGCAAGCAGTACAGGCAGATCAGAATAAGGGCATACAGATCATAGAGTGTTTAAACAGAGTGAGGCATACAGGTTATACTGCACAGGAGGTGTGCAAAGATCAACATTATTTGAAGTTAGATAGCCCATTTACCAATCTAATGATGGCAGGGAAACAGCCATTCTTGAACCTGTTGGTGTGTGTATTCAAGGGTTTAGAGGGATGAGTCAAAAGTTGGCAAATGGGACTATATTAAATTAGGATATCTGGTTAGCATGGACAAGTTGGACTGAACAGTTTGTCTCCATGCTGTATAGCTCTATGACTCTGAGGAGATGTTGCTTCACCTAGAGTGGCTAGCCTGTGGAATTCACTATCACAGAAAGCAATCAAGGCCAAAACATTGTCTAATTCCAAGAAGGACTTGGATATAGCACTTGGGGCTAAAGTGATCAAAGGATATGGGAAAGAGGTGAGAACAGGTGAGTTGAATGATCAGTCATGCTCATAACGGATGGCAAAACAGGCCCAAGAGCCAGAATGGCGTATATATGCTCCTATTTTTGATGTTTATGTTTCATCACCACCTTCTCCAGCGCAGGGATAGTAGGAACTGCAGATGCTGGAGAATCCGAGACAACAAGGTGCAGGGCTGGATGAACACAGCAGGCCAAGCAGCATCATAGGAGCAGAGAGGCTGACGTTTCGGGCCTAGACCCGAAAC